GGGTGGGGGTCATTACATTTCAATAACTTTAGGCAGTTTCACTGATTTTGTTAAGAAGGAAACTAAATATTCTTCTAGCTCTCTGTAATAATGTCTTGATACATAATAGGGTATGAGGGAAAAGACTAGAATCTGTCCTGTCCACTGTTCTGTGCACAATCCCTGGCGTGGGTGGCACTCAATAAATACTCATCAAGTAAATGAATACATGTCAATATTAACATGACTTGCTCATATTGTAGGACGATTTTCACAAAGATTCCAAGATTCAACTATGTGGATCCTGATTTTGCGTATACTGATGCTGAAATATTAAAAAAGAAAGCACATGAACAGTATTATAAAAGCTACATTGAATATTTGAGAAATGCACGCCTGCAGAAACAAGCAGAGAGGTAAAGATCACTTCCCAAAGCAATTTGAAACACAGATTATGGTGCCTATAGAGCCACATTTTTTTTTCTTTACACCTTAGTTTCTTTTTAGTGATTTAAATGGCCTTTTTATATATGAAAATAGTAAAACCTTGAGCTACTTTCACTGCAGTGACTTATTTCCTTACCTTTGATCTGGGAATGTCTGAGGTGGGTCTCCCCAGCAGCAGATCCTAAGACAGGGATGCCACAGCACATGAGATTTTTGCAAAGTGTTCTTTTAGGAGAAACCTGTCCAATATGAGAGAGACAGGCCAGGGCAAGGGAGGGAGCTGAGAAACGATGTGTTTCAGATAAAGTTTACACTCAGCCTGAGGCCTAGGGTCTCTTGAGCATAAATTATAGTATATAGTTGTTCCTGCCTTGACCCAAAGGGGCATCCCTTTTGTGCTCCGTATCAATCATTGTCTGTGAGCTGATCTTGGGTGTGGTGGGGTGAGCATGACTTTTTTGGGGAGGCATTTGAGAGTGGGGCCTCCTCAGCAGAGGGCGTTTTTGGGCAGATTAGCGCACCCGTCTGTGTAAGTGGGGCAGCGACAGCCCATGCAGTGTGAGGAGGATTTGAATTTACAGATGTGGTTTCCAAAAGACTTGACCTCAATTAGTTGTTATGATTTCAACAGGGAAGACGTGTATTCCTATGACGATCTAGACATAGGGTTGCAGCCATCGTCAGGCCTAAAGTCACCGTCACTCATGCAGTCGGAGCTGGAGGAGGAGCCGTCTTCTGCAGAACGTGAGCTCAAGCCTTACCAGCTGCTGTGCACCAGGAATATAGAATCCAAGGAAACAAAGGCTCTAGGAAGAAAGGCATGCGCCATACCGTACATTTGATTATGCCATGAGAATTCTGAAGTTGCCTTTTGCAGATCTCAAACAATTGAATTTTGAAATAATTTGATTTTTCACAGGTTCTCAAAGGGCTTAAGTCGCACCCATCCACACCTTCTGAAAAACGTGATTGCAGCTTAATGTTGACACCAAAGCAGATTCATCAAGTAATCGTTGGTAAGGATTTATAAATACCTGCTAATGTCTTTGTTTTCTAAACAGATGTATTCAAGTGCCATTTGTATTCCACAAAATTTACCAGTTTAAAGTATGCAAGTCAGTGAATTTTAGTAAAATGTACAGGGTGATGCAATCATCATTGCAACTCAGTTTTAGAATGATGCCATCACCTTCATAACCATAGACAGTACTCCCTCTTCCCAGCCCTAGCCCCAGACAACCATTAATCAACTTTTTATCTCTATAGATTTGTCTGTTCTGAACATTTTGTATAAAAGGAATCATACAAAATGTGTTCTCTCTTATACTGTTTCTTTTACTTAGCTAATGTTTTTGAGGTTCATCCATGTGGTAGTAGGCGTAAATTTGTGTGTGTGTGTGTGTGTGTGTGTATATCTAAATAGTATTTCGTTTTATTGGCATATCACATTTTGTTCATCCATTTACCATCTGATGGGCATTGAGCTGTTTCCAGTTTGAGGCTATTGTGAATAATGCTGCTATAAACATTCACCTATAATTCTTTGAATGAACATATGTCTTCATTTCTGTTGGTTAGAGTCCTAGGAGTGGAATTGCTGGGTGGTACGGAAAATTTATATCTAACTTTCAAGAAACTGCCAAAAATTTTTCCAAGATGACTGCACCATGTTACAGTCCCTACAACAATATATTTCGACAACACCTCCAGTCCGGAGTTAGGAAACAAGTGACAACTGCATAACCTTGCAGAGATGTTACACTCTTGTCCCTCCCTGGGTGATTTTCCCCAGATCTATTGAAGGATGATTACGGTGAAAGAAATCCTCGCTATACTGGTCTGAAGAGGGGGTTCTCATTTCCTTCTCTGCAGGCTTAGGGCGGCCCCGAGAGGTGGACAGAGGACGATTTATTGGTATGGATGTGCTGATTCTCCCTTTAGGGAAAACCCAGCACACCAAACACCAAATACCAACTCTGATATTATTCAGATTAAAGGAGACATCAAAAGATAAACAAGGTCAGGGGCAAAGCAGTAGAAGGTGATTAAATACCATTTACTCTGCTGCTGTTTTGTTCCATGCATGTAGATAGGCACTGGGCATTATAGTCCCAGGAATTTACTTTTACTGTTGGGTGGCAAATGCTCTGCATCTTCCAGACTGGTGACCGACTTGTCAGAATAAATCTATACAAATGCAAAAGGAGCAACGTTCGATTGCAGTGCGCAGTGCCTCTTCTACAGCTCATCTACCAGCTTCTCTCCCTTCTTCACCTGATGTCCTTGGCATATTACTAGTGGCCCTCTGGGACAGGACCCCTGTTTGAGTTTACAAGGTCAGCAACTCTGATGATAGAAATTTTGAATCAGCTGGAGGAAGCTTGTATGGAGGAGGTAGTTTATGAAATTGGTGATGTAGAGGAGGTAAAATTTTTCTTCTACCCTTCTGAGTTCTTTGGCTGGTCTAATAACTAAAATTGACATAAGACAGGTTAACAGGAGAAAAACAAATTTAATTTCATATATGTGGGAGCGCCATAAAACATGAGACCCATGGAAAAGTCAGACAGCTGAGGCTTATATGCTCTCCTGAGCTAAGGAATGGGATGGGAGCTTGTAGCTTCAAAGGAGAGGAGAGTAATTCACAGGACAAGAAGAATAGATGTGTGCCCTGCTACACAGATAGGCCATTCAGATAAAAGTGATCTCTGGTAATAAATAGCTCTTTCTCTGAGCCGAAGCCCCCTGTCTAAGTTCTTTTAGGTAGTCAAGAGAGAGGTAGAAGTTTTCCTTGAGTCTGCCGGGTCTTAATTGCCTTCAGATCAAAATAATCCACATGCTAAAGTGACATATTTTGGGATCACTTATTCTGTTTTTCTTCAAGGCTCACTCATTTTTATACCTTAAAGGTGCTTTTGAGCCTATGCACAGAACAGGGAGTATTACTATCAAAGGACATTGTAGTGAAAGAAAATTTGGCTCTATATCATATTTTTAAAAATTGATATGGCTGTCAAGAGACATAGTAGAGGATTTGCAGATTAATTGAGTCAGTTAGAGAAAGCTATTATAGGAGTCTGGGTTACATTGGAAGTTCTGTGAGGTATTGTTTGCTTCATCAGCATATGTCCAGTTATTTTGGTTTTAAGCTACCATTTATGGATGGATATTATAAGCCAGTCATTATGTTGCACAATTTACAAACATAATCTCACTTAATCCTTTAAATGACATAAATCACTTATGAGGTAAATACTTTTATTTCCATTTTAGAAGTGAGTAAGGCCCAGAGAGGTGAAACACCTTGATCAAATTGCTCTAGTATTTAGTGGGAAGGAGGGGATTTTCAATTAGGTTTCTTTAGCCATACTTTCTATCTTGATTTCCCTTCTCATTCATTTTTTCTTTTTATCCTCACCAGAGGATATGTTTTATTGATTTTAGAGAGAGAGGGGGGTGTGA